CCCCCCCCCCCCCCCTAGATTTTGCTACTCCAGCTACTAAACTAAGTTGAAAATGTCTCTCACTCACCTCCACCAAGAAGAAGTGTTGGGATACCCCATGATAAAAGGTTCTTAACACACCGACCCACTCCGAACTGGGTGAGGTTAAAGGAAGCCATAGGATCCCCTGCTAGCGTATCTACTCCACACTGGCATACTATGGCATCTGGTTTGTATTTGGACTGCACTTTAGCCATTACTCTAAATGAAAATTTCACATTAAAATTTGAGATACTATTTTATATTTTTTACAGCTTGAATATCATGCCATGCATACCTGTTGAAGACTTCAACAAATGGTCTGTCAGTGATTCCATCATTCAATGCGACATTAAGGGAATAGTATCGTCCTTTTCCTCTCCCAACTTGATTGCAACAACCACTTCCTATCATATAAGAAACCAACTTGTCATTTATACTATTTTAATTATATTTTGATATGGATTCATGTGGTATCTAGACATGCTGGGTGATGACYGTGACACATCCTTGTATTCTGCGTAGATGAGAAGTACTGTACTGAACACCATCATAACTGGGGTGCCATCAATCTAATAATACTTAAGTAGTTCTTTGTTGTATGTTAGATTCTGATTTTAACAATCATTTATCCTAGATGTCTTAAGCAGTGTACTACAATAATAGAGGTTCATCCAAGGTAATTACCCTACCTGGAAAGAATCCTGAAGCATATTTATGGAAAGAGACAGTCATGACTCTYGGAGTAAATGAGAAAGCATCTTCTACCCCATCACCATGATGCAAATCAAGATCAACATACAAAACTCTGTTAAACTTTTCACGGAGCTTTAAAATACCAAGAACTATATCATTGACGTAGCAGAACCCAGCGGCTTCATCCCTGAAAGTCAAGAAGAATTATTATTATTGTCTGTTAAAAAAACCTCAAATTTTATCAAGCAGCCTCTGAGCTGAGGCATGGCTAAATCACAGATTACATGCTGCATTACCTTTGTGCATGATGCCATCCTCCCTGCCAGTTGATGGCTACATTGGCTTGTCCACTCTTCAGCGCCTCAGCTGCTACTATTGTTCCTCCAGCAATAGCAGAAATGGTCTTAAAAACATCTTCAAACATTGGACAATCATACCCTAAAGATACAAGAAAAACAATATTATCAAAGGTAAAATATTAAGCTGGTGGTTTTCATTTARTAGTTAGATTTACACAAGAGCTATGAAAAAAAACGTTTTTAATTAATAAATTGCTGTAACAGAAGTTGAAACAAGCATTTGGGGTCACTAAAGGTAAAGTAAAGTTTATTTAGCATTGATAGTTCCTTCAGCTACGTGGCTGGTATCCTAGGGAGCTAACTATACACAAAAAAGACATAGAGAAGTCCTGACAAATGAACAGTGGACCTCTAGTTCTGAAGTCAACACACTAACTGAGTTACACATGCTCCTACTGAGAATCAAACCAATGCTTGATTTAAAGCTAAAGGCACTATACAATCTAATAGAAATAATATGGTATTGCAATACTTTAAATTCATCTGAGTTTCAATGAATGTCAAGATAAAGGTGCACTGATTGCATACCAAGTCCAAATTGGTTAATTTCATCCTCGTCATCAAGATCACTGTAGTTTTTCAAACATTCTATATACTCATTAGAGTGAAATCCTGTCAGCTCATTGATTGATGCTCTTTTGGGAGGGATAATGCTGAAAATGAAAAACAAATCAATAGATGAAATAAGTAATTATGATTATTATCATGACTAATGATGATAATGAAGAAATATATTAAATATCAAAAATCAACTACTGCCAAACAAAAAATGATTTCTCACTCTACAAAAATTACTTTAACCTCTAGATACTATTCTCATTAAGATGTTGTAGTACTATCTTATTTATAACGCAATTTGCGTCTAAAAATAACATTTTGTTTTCGCCTGCATGTTTAATGAGTTACCTGTAGCAAAGAACAAGTACCAAAGAAATACAAGAAGAAATAAATATTTAACAGATCCTTTCTTTAGCTAAGCTAAAATTAGAAAAAATTTACTTTTTTATCCATATTTAAGAGATCGAAGAATAGCTCAAAATAATTCACAAAAAGTCCCTGACTTGATTTGCTGAAGGTATTATTTCTTTGCTACAGCAAACAAGATACAACACAGACCAGACTAAAAGAATTCAAATATCATCACTACACCCATGGATTAAACTTACCTAATATTCCTGTCCTCTAGGAGTCCGTAGGCTTCAATCAAAGACGTGGTAAGACTTGCCTAAAGATAAAATATTAAACGGTTTGTTCAAAGAGAAAAAACTCGCTCGACTCACAACAACAACACAGCAAAACTTTGCCTCAAAAAAATGATTAAAAAAGCATACAAAACATCAATCAAAAGACCACTTACTCTGCCCTGTACTTTAGGAAGTTTATCACATAGATTTACATAGTCTTCAGAGTGAACAAAGGCTACTTTACGGTGTTTTATCGCAAGTACTCCTTCGTCCTCATCTGAAGACGCCATTTTATTTCGACCAGTTCAAACTTGCGCGCGAAAACCAAACCGTGACAATCAAGTACTGACTGGGGAGGGGGGARGGGATTGTTGTCATTACAGAGTAAGCCTGGAAACTACTCATATTTTTCCAGCAATTTTTTGGCGGATTTTTTTTTATATAAAGAAAACTCRAAATAAAAAGGAAAAATTAAGCTAAAAGATCTTTGCACACGACTAATTCATTCAAGCTATCAATGTCTTAGTTTGTGTGCAAATTTTTTAACCCACATTAGCTTAAAAATATAACGTACATTAAGATATTAMAATATACGTGTTGGGATAAACTTTAGATCATTTTAAAATAATGTGAAAATGATTTCCATTCAAACTGTTTATGGAACCTAATATCTGAGGATATTTTATGGACCCAGTTGAAACAGAACCATAATTTAGAACATTTTCACCTATGTTACGTGTAGTATTTGTGAAATGACATGCCATTGGAGTGTTAGAAATTGCAGTCATGATAAACTTCAGAAGTTGAATATATCTATTCCTTTTATGGAATATTTTCTAAAGGCTCAAGGTTGCTTGTAAATGTAGACATGAGAGTGCCGTGCCTCTGTTTCCACTATCTATTGATCATGTTGCATACTCAGTTTTATCGACGAAAGCGCGCGAAGAATTTCGAATGTCTTATGACTTTTATTCACATGCAGAAAGAACAGAATAAAGTGAGTGGCTTAGGAAGGCTATATATTTTCAACATTTTTGACAAAAAAATTTCTTTTGACAATTAAGCTCTATGATTTCTTTCCTTTTCTAGCAACATTACAGTGTCTTAGTAATTTTCCAGCGTCGCATGAATGAAAGTTTTTTCCTTTAACATCAAAGAATTTTCTGCTTCTATATGGTTTACTGTAGTATGGATTCACACCTGCCCTTCGTTGCCATAGCCGGAATAACGTACCGACCATTCCGACCAGTACCGACCATTTCGAACAGAACGTAGACCCAATCTTTTATCAAACCATGCAGCTTCACGTACAACAATCAATGGTTGTAAAAAGATGATCGTGAATGGATTATCATCTCATCTCGATGCGGTTCACCATCCACTTGTCAAACTTGTTGAACTAACTATTTGTAGCAGTAGTGCTTCAGCCTGGGTTTATTTTGGTCGTGATGAACAGACTCAAAATAGCTCTGCAGTGATATGAATTTTTGTGAGGCCTGCAGCTTATCGCATGCTTTGTACAAGACGGCGTGGCAAGGACAACGACTCCTGGATACGCACGTTTAAAATCACTTCTATGTCAAACATCTTGCTGATAAAATAAACAGTTTAACCTAAAAAAGTAAATARCAAATGCATTATCATGTTGATTGGTTATCTCGGGGAAATTCATTGACGTACTTCTATATATCTTCACCGACCGTGGATAGACGTCGTGGCGAGTTCTTTTTTGCACCGCAAACTGATAAATCACTTTTATTTCCAAAGTAAAAAGTGATGACAGAGTAAAGATAGAAAGAATTTTCAATACAAATCGCATCTCTAAACATTGTCAATCAGTGTCCTTCAATGAAAGACTTTGAGATCATATTAGTAGATAGTCTAAATAAGCAGAAAAAATCCCAGTTTGATCAATCATGACTTTATTGCAGTAGCGCCTGGAGTGGATGTTTTCCTGCGGGGGCTGATGTATCAGCACCCTTGGAGTTGCTTTGTATTGCAATTTATTTCGTAGCCCTAAATGAAAGGATTTTTAAATCCATTCAAATCAGTAATCTTCCAAAAGATTTCCGTCGTATAACTAATTATTGATACATCAGTTTGGTTTTTAGCTCACAGGCTGTACGTTCCCGCCATGTAATACAGTGTGCTGCTGTGCTGTGATCTATTCACCTCTCGCGTGGGTACTAACACTTCCTGATTGTTCATTTGCAAAAGAAAAAGGAAAATTCTCATGGTGTTTACGGATAAACAGACGCCAAAGGGCAGTGTTGCTGGGGATTACTTGGCTGGATTTAATAACGGAAACAAAAAAGAAAATGTACAAAGATTCGCCCCCACTTCGTGACGTAGCATGTCTCAGGGTATTTTTCGGGATTTTATCTCGCGCACGTACCACGATGCAGAATGACCGAGAAATAGGTCATGTAGCGATACGATCTACTGAACTGAACAAATTAAAATCATTAAATAATAATCTAAACAGCGTACTTATCCAAGAGTTTGTTTTCTTGGTGAACTCTTCCACGTTGAGGGTAATATAACTAAGGCAAATGAAGCACGCAGATCGAGTCGATATCAGGAAGATAGTTTAAATTTAGCTTATCAAAACTATTCTTGTTCAGTTACTTACGATGAAAGCTACTTTTGATCTTTAACAGAAACAAAAATTCGCCGATTTTCGACATGAATGACGTAATCCAAGTATGACGTTAAATTACTGCCGCGGTTCAAATCAAGGCACTGATCAAACACGCTGCAAGCTAAAAACAAATTTACAACTGACTTTTGGTTGCAGAGCAGCTTTTGCTTAGAAATCTAAGTCCAGAAGCAGAAACCCTCAGCTCAACAAAATAACATATTTGAGTAAATTAATTACTTACGACGATATAAAGAATGATAATTAAATTAAAAGAAAAAGGAATAAACTGTTCATTTGTCAGTTCCTGTTTCTAAAGAAGCCGATGGAAAAGGTGTTTTGAGTTAGAAGCAAAATGCTGAAGGAATAGTGACGCCAAAACCGTGTTTGGAAAACGTTTGTATGTCATAATAAGAGAGAATTATTTTAGAAACTATGAAGCCTAATAATCAAACTATTTGAACTAAAGGTTGTTTATTAGTTGGTTATTTCTTCTAGTTCTTTTTTATACACGGCTTTTATTTACGAGTTTAGTAGATGGAGTGTTAAGATGTCCACATCTGTTTTTTCTGGTGTCTTTGAAGTACTCTGCGAAGCCGTTGAATGGTTGAATAGCTCAGCAAGAGATACAAAAACGAACTGACAAAAGCATTTCCTCGCTATAAAAATGTACCTTCAAAAACGAGTAGCCAGATTTCGATGGAAAACAACTTTATTTAGTTGTGGGGCCAAGAAGTGTGGGATTCATTTGTCAATCCACATTAAGAACGTAGACCCAACGACGACAAAATGCGGTCCGTTTTGATCCTCGTAGGTCATTATACGCTTCAGTCTTTGATTTGCCGCTATTAGTCCCACAGGGACACGTAGTTTAGCTGTTATTTTATTAGTTAGTTTAGCCACACGTGTTTCTTTGCACTGCGTGCTTAGGTTCCCACTTTAAAACCGATCCTATGAGGAAGTTTAGCTTGTGTCCAGTGCAGTTTGACTGACGTTCCTAGACGCCTTAATATGCAGCTATTAGTGTATCCTAACAAGTTAAGTGAATTGCTATGTAAATATTGATCTTGTTATTGAAGAACTAGTCCCGACGATCCAATTAAATAGATACTGAAGGTAATTGAATAGGCCTAATTGAAATATCACTCGACCGAGTCGGCTTACTGCAGTGCGTGAACTCTAATCATTTAACAATATACCAAGGCCTTTGCCTTTTGCCGCCAACGTCGTCTTGGCCAATCAGCGCGCACCAGGCTACGATATATTGATGGGTTCTCCAGTGTTTAGTAAATCTTTTGCCATGTACGCTTTCGTCTGACGACACTCCATAGCGTTTAGTGTAAGCGTGCGCTACTTTACCACTGTACTCAACAACTTCCAAATCTTTAAGTGTTCCAAGTATCACCTTGGGAAGAAATATCCATAACTGAGTGTTAAATTGTTGGTCGACGTACACTGTTGATCACTCTGAGTGAAGATCTCACCTAAAATGGTAGGTTAAATTGTTGAAAGCAAAGCATTATTTTTGCATAGAGTAGGTTGTATCAAGGCTGTTAAGCGAGTGTCGTCYTATTTCTTTTGCAGTTCTACCAGAGTATTGTTACGTTCTTGGTTATAGTGTGGACACTCTTTACGCTCCCATCCGCAAAGCAGGTTCAAGTCGAGGATAACCTTACGGACCTACAAGCACAGCTGAAATTCCTGGCACAACAGCTACAGTCTTGTCAAGGAAATACTCCATCCAATGTCTTTGACATGAAACTTCATTTGCTTGATAAAAACACGACTTGCAACGATGGATCTCCTGCTGGGTATTGATAACTTCTATATTATATTATCTAAGAAAATAATTGCATTGATACTTGATGCGGGCAAAGAATTATTTCCCATCCAGAATCTGTAGAAATTAGGGTTTGAGTCATTATTTTCGTCGGTTTTTGATGAGGCGTAGTTGCAGTGTAAACTCGTTTCGTGCGGAATGTACCGCGGTCAAACCACTGAATACGGTACCATACTAGTGAACTAGTCTTGTATAAAGTCAACCTTCAAAGCAACACCATCATTTGCTATCTTTCTTCTTGGCTCTAGACTGAAAACTGCGTCTTTTACTTCCTATTATTTTGTTATTTTTGCTGCTGCAAAACCGGTAGTTAAACTACCTGAGTATCTTCTTTGAGAGCGCACCGTTCGTTCTCACATGCGTAAAAAGCTATCGAGAAGTTTGCAATCTTAAAACGAAAGTCTTCAATCAATAATGTTTTTTTCATTCTGGATGGTTATTCGTGCTGTTCTCCTAATCAAGGGTCAAGAATAGATACCACCATCAAATGAATCAAACAGAACCGATGCGCATTACTAGGTAATGAGGGCACAACCACTTGCTGACTTCATAACATGTTATTTTGTGATAGATATTATCTCAAGACAGCACCTGGAAGCAAGCGTTGGTTGGTGTATTTAGAAGGTAAGCAAGACTACTCTACTTGGTTTGATTAGTTTATCCATGTGGATGTCTTGGCTGTTTACGTACTTCATGTCATACAATGTTGATTCATTGTCTTGAACAAAAGGTCCAGTATTAAGGGGATTCAGTTGGACAGATCAATTTTTCGGTGCATTTGTTTGAAGCGAAGGGTGGGATTAAGCTGCTTAGCATTACAAAACCCGATCGACCCGGCGCCTGATAATGCACACAACTCTATAATCCGAACAAACAAATAAATACAACGCGTTTGCTGATAGATCCGAGCCTATTCAATAGGTACAACCCGAGGCGAATCTGCCTCCACACCCGTCCGATGATACGTGTTCATCATATTCACAATACTTGCACGATTTATTGAAACATCCGCATGGCCAAGGATAGATAGAATTATTGGTCGAAAATATATCGTCGCTTCTCAATCCTAATGACCACTGTTGCTAGCATTCTTCTGGACTTTATTGGGCCCGATGGAGAGAGCCTAAGTTAGTTTTGAATGATTCAGCGATTTGCATCTTTGTACAACAGTGATAGCGCAAACATTATTCTAAAAAGCGTAGAGGTTGCGAACAGGCTGGTACCATTTGGAGAAAACTCCGCGTCTTTTTAGAGTAATTAAATAAAAGGCAGACGAAACGATTTGTTAACTCATGTCGTAAATCATTTAATGTTCCCCGGCATTTACTGTTCATATTGCATGTCGATAAATGGTTGAGGTCACGCGTCGGTCGCCCTTGTGCTAAACAGAGAACACTTATATTACGGTCACACTTTGACTTGATGAAATATGTTGCGCATATTAAAGGACAATCAAATACACGTAATGGAAAAGATGGATGGACTGAGCGCGTCAAATCAAGAGGAGAATGCGCCATGATTTACGTACCAAATGGCACATGCTTGTGGGGAGAGACTGCGCTAAGCTGTTGAACTGACTCTACGGAAACAAACTGATGGGAATGACCAGCATTAGGGCAAGTGTGCGGGGAGGGGAAGGTTGGGGAAGGGAAGGAGGAATTGTTAGCCTGCAGAAAGGCTAGTGGGAATATGGCTGCAACAAGGGTAGAACCGGAGTAGTAAAGTTGTTTTTGCGCGTATCAAATGCACGCTTGCATGGGAAGCCGTTTAACACACAGATGGATTAACCGTCGTAGCACGCAAAACTAGAGCAGGGTTTGGCTTTTCTTTCAGGTGGGTGGTTCTGCGTCAACAGAAAATCCTGCAAACAACGAGCAAATTCTCATATGAGAACTCTGATGACGTCATTAACATGGTCAAGCAGAAAGCGAGGTAGGCTGTTAAAAGCTGAATAAGATCTTTATCGAAATTCGTCCAACATATATTTAAGTGGAACATGTAAGACTCAAGTCTGCCTTATATTAACATAACCCGAGGACATGGCACTTGATGTACGTGGGAGTTTAAGTTAGAAATTAAACCAAAGCTGCCGCTACAAACTTTGAACTAAGTTGACAGAGTGATCAAACCGCTTCTATATCAAGACATTAACGAGAGATTTCCGTCAATTGTACACTGCACAAGCAGTGTGCCATGGAATGTTAATTTTATCCTAAAAATACCATATTATCGGAAATCATTAGAATATGATATTAAAACCACTAACCGCGCGGGGCAGATGGAAATGTTAATGCCATATTTTGTGTTCATGCAGGAAGTGGTATCATGTCACCAGACCCTGAGGAGAATCCAAGCTGGTGGAATGCTAATCAAGTGTAAGTATAAAGAAGAAAACAAACGAATAAATAGGCAGTAGGAGAATTGATTTAACTTAATACACCGTATGGTTTGTGATGTTTAGAAACTGACGTTTCGGACGTTAGTCCTTCGTCGGAGTAAATGTGAACATTTTGTGTGTTAACCAATCAAAAAAATATCACGTGCTTATGTGTGTTAACCACTCAAAACATCGCGCTAGACATCACGTGCTTATGCGTGTTAATCAATCGCTAGCAAAACGCAACTAACCATATACTCTTTATGCTTCTAGTTTAGTACCTTATTGTTCCAGTGATGCTTGGAGTGGTAACGTCTCTAGTTCAGAAAGTGGAGGTACCGTGTTTACTGCTAATCGTCTCCATGAAGTTTCACTTTACTAATCCCAGCTTTTTTAATTCCACCAGAAAAGTTTTCGTTCCTTGGCACGCGCATCATTGATAAGGTCATTGAAGACCTGTTGCCCAAAGGACTCTATCACGCCAACCACCTGTTGCTGGCAGGAAGCAGGTAAAATATTCCACACTTAGCTATATCATGCTAACTTTGGTAGTTTTCTTCTTCACATTTAATTCATTTATTCAAAAACATTGAACCACTTTTAATGAATAAATTTCTGCTAGGCTTATCGATCCTAACATTGATATGTTACTTGCAGCGCTGGTGCCATAGGGGTCATACTCAACGTGGATCGAGTGTCGGACATGCTGCRTGGCCTGGGGTCGAACATCCAGGTGCGTGGATTGGCTGACTCGGGATGGTACCTCGATAATGGCCCGCTAAATCCAGGGTGTCCTAAGGGAGTGACAAATTGTGGACCTTCCCAGACCATAAGAGAAGGAATGAAGTGAGTATCCTATTGAATATTTATCTTTTGTTTCATGATCGACTTTCATTCATAAAACACACATTACAAATATATTTCAGATACTGGAGGGGGATTGTGCCCGACGCATGCGCAAAGAGGCATCCATTAGAGCCTTGGAAGTGCTACTTTGGGAACGTTGTTTATCCCACAATAAGAAGTGAGTAGAAAGATCATTAACAGATAAATAATACGTTTCACCTACTATAGTGAGCGTGCATCCCTTTACATGTACAAAAGGCACGGCCGTTTCAAGTGTTCGAACCCCACTCGTTTCTTTCAAGAGATATACATATGAACTGCAGTTGTGCGCACGCTCGAAGCTATGCAAGTGCTCTTAGCCCGCATTCCTATTGGTCACAGTGAACCTCTTGCTCTTCCGTGCCTGCCATAAGATACCCAGGCTCAAAGGTCGGGATTGTGGCTCATACGACAGGCTTACTTTGATTCCTGTTTTCTACAGCTCCACTGTTTTTGTTTCAATGGCTTTATGACGAAGCACAACTCGCACTCGACGGTTCGGGAAGACCAACATCTCTCCAGAGCGTTACCGCTGAACAAGTGAACTACATTTTGATGTTGGGAAAGCATCTAAGGAAATCACTTCGACGCACACATGTGCAGTAAGTATCGTTAATAAATTTCGGGTAATTGATATTAATGAAGAAAAAACTTGTCATCGCTAATCACCACCGCAATGTACAGCAGTGGCGCAACTCAGCTACGTGGGTCCCAATGAGTAGCTTCAGGGTTAGCCCCAGGGAATGCATATTGTGAATATTAGAATGTTTATTTATATATATGCTGTTTGTTTTGTTATTTTAGTTCAGTGTTTTCACCTGCCTGCTTATCACACACCATACTGACACACAACAACTGGTTGAAGGTCAGGATCGGCGGGTACACGATAAACGATGCCGTAAACTGCTGGCTACATTCAAGCGGTCACAACAGAGGACACGGTAAAAATAACTCTAGGTCTCATACCAATACGAATAATCGCTGTAGAATGCACTTGGTAGACTCCTGTATGTTCCCGCATTGTAACCCGACGTGCCCCCTGCCGAGAGATCCCAATACGGGAAAACCGTACATCCTCAAAATGTCTGGTAAGATGCCGGGGGTGCCGCTTAATTTAAATGACGATAGTCAAATAATTCCTCCAGGGAGGTATCGCGATCGATCTTAAGAAAAGCGCATTTCCTTTTTTGTCTTGATTGCGCACTAGTTAAAAACAATGAAATCTTCAAAATGTAATCTCAAATAGTACGTCTATGAGAGCTAACTACACAACTATCTTAACACTTGGATGACTTACTTGCAAGACTATTTAACTACTTTGACAATATCAATGAATCTAAGTCGATGATATGACTAAACTTACTTATAAGTAAACATTAAAATATAAAAACAAGTTGTTTTAGGAAATAGTGTAAAGTTTACACAAAGCATTCATGGTTCCGACTCAGACAATTTTAAATTCTAATATATTCAACTAGTTAATTCGTCGAGCTTGTGGGACCTAGTAACGGTAACTAAGGGGAGTGGGAACCATGAATTCATCTGTGCTTTAGTTTTTATTTGTGATGTAATTGCGCATGCGCTTACGAAAACCGCTGTTATTTGCGCGCGTCTGCAATTGTATCATCTGCTTAACAGTCAGGGCCCGGTTATATGAAGCCTGGATAGCGCTATCATACTGATAAATCTTATCCAGTGGATAAATTTATTGGATAATAGCATCGACTTATCCACTGGATAAGGATTTATCCGCCGGATAGCGCTATCCAGGCTTCGTACAACCGGGCCCAGGCCTACTTCAGCAAACCACCGAAATACTGTATTTATATCAAACATAAAACTATACACGTTATTGTATACATATTAATGTCTTTACTTATCATTTATTATTGTTGTTTTATTAATAAAATAACGTTCTGTGTAGAAATACAAAGTTACAAATCAAAACAATTGTTAATATGACAAAAAAACACTTATTCATATCTTGGGAAAACGAGTGGGAGACTGGTTATGTGAACATGAAAATGAGGTCAGTTATGTCAATGGAGGATATTCCTGCTTACGTTGAAATCATGAGAACTGGCTTGTCTCTTCTGTTCATTGATCTTCTGCATTTATTCATGAGATGAATTAGGTGGCATTCAACGTTTTTTTAGTACTACTAGTAGTCCTACTAGTAATGACAATATATATCATGTGAGATTTATGTAGACCAAGGAATACGTAGTAAAGCTAGCATTATTATCTATTTAAAACACTACATAATAGTGCAGGCATTAAGAACATTTGTATATAAAATGTGACCATGTATAATTGTTTAATAAGTAACTGATAGAGAGAAAGAAAAAACACTTATTGTATCTGATTTTTATAATCATTGATGTTCATATAAATCTAACAAAGGGATCTTAAGCTTAGCCCTTGTATCTTTACTCTTTTTTCTCTTTTATTTGTCTTGTTTTTTTTTAAGATTAAAATATAAAAGAAATAAACTATCGAGAAATGCTTCACAAATAACTTTGTAAATTATGCCAAAAATCAACCTGATTGTGTGTATTAATTATTTGTCTCGTAAGCTAGCAATTGCCATGCCCTTCCTGTCATACTCACTACTATTCAAACACTCCAACATGAAGGCAGCTACATCGGCACGGGGAATACTCATTGTAGTGTTTGTGTTGCAGTATCCTTCCTCTACCTTGTAGTTGTCATTAGGAGGATCTACGAAACAGATGTTTAAAAAATATTTTTTTAAAAAGTTTCAAATATTGTGATATTCTCAACATGACATTGATTTTCCTCACCCCTCCCCCCCCCTCCCATACAAACACACTACATATCTGTCTGTCTATCATAGTGTATAACAACTAGTTTTGTTCCCAAGACATACCATCTGTTAATCCTGCAGGCCTGACAAAAGTGTAATTGATTTCACTGGGGTCACTCTCTTCAACCATCTTTTCCATGACAGCCATGTCTTTTATTATTCCATTTAAAATAAAAGGCTTCAAGAACCACTCCATAAACCAATGGTTATTAGGTCCTGGACACGTTCCCCATGATGTGACAACAATCAACCTGCTTACTTTATGCCTGCAAAGAAATAGTTGAAGCTTGAGGAGGATGCTAGCTTGACGATACTTGATGACAATGATGACAATGATGATAATGATAGTTGATAATGTGGCTAATTACCATAACTACCTTTTCATGGCTTCCATAATTCCCTTCATTGACTCGGAGTACATGGTCGTAGGGTTGAATATACTGTGATAAGGACTTCCAAATGCAGATAGTATTGCATCCTTATCTTTGAATGATGTAGCATAGCTCTCTATATCACAGATATCTCCCTGGACGATCTGAAGGTTAGGATGTCTAGCAATATATTAAAAATATCATTAATCAAACATCAATAATGTACATTGAAAGTAAAATATTATAGCAAATAACTCACCCCACCCCCAACCGATGGTCATGACCCCCC